ATTTTACATGTTTAGCATTTGTATGTACTTAGCATTTTGGCTAATGTGTATTTCTCTTTTGTTTTGGCTTGGCCCTACTTATCATTAATGATGAGTAGATAGGTGATGGCGATCAGAAGACGTGAATTAAATGCTGCATTGGGGACAATGGGTGGTGATCACCTAGTTAAATTTAGTAGACATAGTATCAATGTTTTAGTTACTTCAGAAATTTCTTGAACTATTATCATTATTATTATTAAATGACAAGTATTTTCTTCCGTTGCAAATCTCTGTTAAGCCTTACGTAATCACGTGGCGGTAATACTCCCATGTTACTCCCTAAAGTTGGATTATTATTATTGTAAATATTAGAGAGTAATTTGGGGGTGTTACAATAGAGGCGGACTTGGAGCAAGGCTTCAGCGTCAGCCAACCTCTTTCGACTTTCCTCCAAATCCTTTTTAGATTTTTCTAACTCTTCTGAGAGTTTGGAGGAAGAAGTCTTCTGCTCATTAAGCTCCAGCTGGATGTTAGAAGTCTCGGCCTTGGCCTGGGTCAGCTCATCTCCCTTAACCTTCAGCTGATCTTCCAACTCCTTCAGCTTCTGGTCCTGGCTCTTAGCAGCAGCTTGGGCAGCAGAAAGGCGAGTATCCCTAGCCTGTTGAGCCTCTTCAGTAGCCATTCTGCTGGCCTCAAGAGCTTCCAACTTCTGTTGCACTTCGGCTTGTGCAGCAGCTCCCTCTTGGATTCGGCTCTCGATGGCAGCCTTGAATTTGGAGATGTCCACCCCCATGTGCTCTTGAAGGAATTTCTCCCCTTCTATCAGTGGGGGAAAAAATTCCTTCTCCATAGCAGAGCAGAAGGTTTGAATGGCTTCAGCAGCCCTCTTTTCATACTCTTCGCCCTGCTGCTGCTTCTCTTCAGCAGCCTGCTGTTTCAGCTCAGCAAGCTTCGCCTCCTCCCGGGCAATCTTCGCATCCTCCCAGGCATGCTCCAACTTGTCTTGGAGGGTGTCAATATGCTCTACAGTAAGAGTCTGATTGTGCACAACCTGTTTGCAAGGGCACATCAGTTAAAATAAATAAAATAATAAAAAAGAAAGAGCCAGAAAGGAGGAGAAGAGATGAATAAAAGCAAAGCAAAACAGCTAAATGGTTAAGTACCTGCATCAGCAAACGCTGGTTTTCTCTTGCGGGGTCAGGGACCCTTCGGCTGGATTCTCCCACCCCAGCCGTGGCCTTCAGCGACCACACCCTTGCTCGGTCTACTTCTGACATACCAGATAGGTCGCCGAAGTAACCTGTAGCCCCCTCACGGTTCTGGCCCCAAATGCGTTCCCAAACAGGTTCTGAGACTGTGATGCGGGGGGCCGAGAAACCCAAATCTCCAGAGTTCAGCGTCTGGAAGGACGGGAAGGAAGAAGACGGAACCTCCTGAACCTTCTCGGGCTCAGCATGACCTTCCCCTTCGGCGGAGCCCAGCTGGTCTCCACCAGGGTCAGCAACGACGACCTCCTCTGCTTCCTCCGCCAGATCAGGTTGACGAAGAAGAGCGTCAACCTCCCTATCAATATCATCTGAGAAGCCTTTAGCAATTGGCTTCTCAGAATCTTCAGCAGGGCGTCCCTGAACCCCCCCTTCGGATCAGGAGTTCTTTGGTCCACCTCCATCTCTTGAGTTTCGGGAGGTGGAGGGGGGGTTTGAGGACGCGGAGCTTCCGGCGGAGGGGGAGCCCTCGGCGAGCGTCTACCTTCATCAGGCTCCCGTATGAGGATCCCCCCGGTAGGCCTCATCCCCGTCTGAAACTGACGAGGCCCCAGCACGGCTAACCTCCTCCTCCTCTTTGCTAAGGGTTGCTCGTCCTTTTCTTCAGATTCTGACGAAGATGGATCCTCAGAACGAGCAGGCGCTTTCCCTTCTCTTCTTTCGCTCCCTTCCTCAGACTGCAGAAAGGGGGGGCAGCAAAGTGTGAGTAAAAAAAAAAAAAAAACACGAGCAAGTCAGGAACTTATCGGAACCCTCGGCTGAGCTCCAGATGCAAGGATATCCCTCTCAGTAGCACAAGATGTCCCAACACCTCCTTCCAGGGAGTCGATTGCTTGGGACACATCAGAAGCTGTCTGAGCGGCCTGTGCTTCCTCAGGTAATAAAGGCCGGAAGGGATCTCGCTTCTCCCACCAAGGCTTCTGCTTAGTGTAGTCGGCGGCAGCTTCGATCTGAAGGCCCATTTCGTGCAGATGCAGCGGACGGTCCTTCGGGGCTGTGATTGCCAGAGCCCGGTCTAAAATGACTCGTTCAGCGTTCACCCCAAGCCGGTTATAGTCAATCCCCGAAGTAGCTTCGCTCAGCTCTGAAAAGAACAGACGAAGGTTAGACTAAGGGAATAAGCATCAAAGATAAACAAAAAATTAAACAAGTCAAAGTCCTCGGCCCCAGCTGAACATACTTACCATCCCTGTACTTTCGGCTGAGGCCGACAACTGCCAACATCTTCTCTTGGAAGACGTAATGGTTATCTGGGAGCCATCTGGCAGGGAGAAATCTCATTCGGCCAACTCCCCCAGGGTTATTCTGCTTCCCGAAGAAGCTCATTTGCTCGTAGCTGGGGTGACGAGCGGCATCAGGGTCCTCAGGGCCCAAATCCTGCATGTTCGGATCAAGCCTGGAGAGGTATCGGGGAGCCCCAAAAAAATAGGGATGCTCCGAATCAGCGGGAACTCTCACCCAGACCCATTGACCTCTCCAATCCTTGTCCGATGAATCGTTCGGCCACATAGTCAGATATTAGGGGCGGCTCTCTATTCGCCACCAGCCTGAAGACCCATGTTGGCCGTATATGCTCTGAAGGTTTTGCACTAGATGATGCATCTTTCGGAAGCAGTGCAAATTCGGCTCAACAGCAAAAAACCGACACACCCAGAGATAAGTCATCACCCGCTGAATGCTAACGGGTGTTAATTAGCACAGGGAGATCCTGTACTTTATTAAAATATCCCTGACGAAGGGATCCAAAGGGAACCGAAGCCCGTACTGTAGTTGTCGAGTGTACACCCCTATATATCCAGGAGGGGGATGGTGAATCCTGTCAGTCGGCGAGGGCATTCGGCACCAATGCCCGTCCTCCTCTAAAATGCCGTAGTGCAACTCAATTTGCTCGGCGAACCGGTAGGTTTCGGCATGCCGAACCCACCACGAGTATGGGGTATTTCTCACCATGGCGTCCTGGGCCTCGGCGTCCTGCCATTCAGCATGCCCAGGAAGCAGGTCCCAGAGCACAGGGGGCAAATCTTCGGCCTGCCCAGCCCGTTCTCTCTGCTCAGGCTGCTCTGCCTCGCCGGCCCCGGCGTCCTGCTGAGGCGGCGCGGCGTTTAAAGGAACGGCCGGAATCCCCCTTTCCAGGTCTTCCCTGACTCGTTCCCCGTTCCAAACGTCGGCGCGGTCACGGGGATCCCTAACCTGACCCCGTCGACCTGCTTGACGCCTCCTTTCTCGAGCCATAACCAAATGCAAAGAAGGAAAGAAGGGAGAAGAAGAATTCTCTCAAAAAATTAAGTAAGAAAATCAAAGGGACTCGAAGAAATTTACCTCCAAATAGGCCGAAATGCGCCGGTCAAGCCAGTGGGAGTGACGAATTTGAGTGTCGAGCTCTGATTCGGAGGTATTGCGCTAAAGATTCAAAGCGAAAGTGGGTTTATGCGAGAATTCGAGTATAATTTGGTGAAGAAATGAGGCGAAAATGCAAATCAGACCTTATAATTCCAGGAAGGAGAATCCCAAAGGTCGAAAAGTTCAAATTTCTCTTAAATGCCTCCTTAATTAACCGTTAAACACTCTCTCTCTTGATTAACCGCCCACTATCCACTCCACTTCCTGTTAATTATCCAAATTACAATTATTTAATTAATAACTGTTTAAAAATTTAAATCTTTTGATTTAATTAAATCATTTACTTCCCTCCATTTCTTATTGGATTCAAACCCGACCCATCATCCTTCCAAATCGGGTCTGGGGGGCAAGTTGTTTGGGTCCAATTTATCTAATTGGGCCTAGTCATTTATTTGGGTCCAATTATCTCATTGGGCCTGGTCATTAAATGATCCAATATTCCAAGGTCAAGGCCCGAGCTTCCAATCCAGCCAAGTCAGCCAGAAGTCCTTTGGTCCGAATTGCTATGGTCAGCCCATGACTATTTAAGGGCCCAATTACTCTCCTCTCCTCATAGGCAAAGGTATATAAGCCTTCAATTCATCCATTTATGACATATACACAAAAGCCTCAAGCATTAAACCTCTTGCATAGCTTCCTCTCTAAATACACTGCTTGACTTCGCCATCGGAGGGGTCTTCCTCGGATCCACCCCCGAGGCCAGTTTACGTGTGTTCGCTGTGCAGGAAACCTTCGGCCCAGCATCCATTGGACCGGACCAGTCTTCGTCCACTTCATCGAACCTTCGGCAGGGTCCCATTGTTTTCATCCGAAACAGCTAATATTCACCAATATTTATAGCATACACAAGATAACCTAAACAATATAAAATTCTACTCAATATTTATTCAAAAAAATATAAGAACCATCATATGTATACTTTCCTAAAAATCTACCCAATATCAAATTACCATAAATTTGTTTTCAAAAAAGAAAAAAAAAACATAAATTTTATCTTATACCAAGTTGTCAACTAAATCTTTTTATAAAGTTTGGCGAAAAGTTAGAACGCCAAGTGTCGTTGTCTCGTGACCTGGCTAAAAGTTTAGCTTTATATATTAGTTATATGATGTTAACTATATATTAGTTATAAACAACTTGTACTACTTGGTATTATACGAGATATATTATGAGCAGTAGATTTTTCTTGGTATATTATACTAGCACAAGTACTATGTGGTATACTGGTATTATACAAGTACTGCTCATATATCTCGTATAGTACCAAGTAGTATAGTACCACAATATTTGGTTAAAAATCCCAATAAGAAGGTACAGAAATAAGGTTTGGGAATGTGTACACTTAGAGAGGCCTTGGCTCACTTATTTTTGCCATTTGCATCACCTTAATCGGCTTAATAACAATAAGTTAAGAGTATACAGAAAAAGAATACAAGGAATACAATCACGAAAACAGGCCATCACATGTCATTAGAGAAAATAACATACTCTAAAGACTAATGCCAATAGATGACATAATACGTCAATATGACATCCAAGAATATTATGTAGGATGCTGCTCATAATTCAAAATTGAAAGACATGTACTCTAGAAGAATACATGGTCCTGAAATCTGCAACTCTTCTCAATCAAAGCGAACAGAGAAACCAGCATCGGTTTTGGTCACATTTACGCCACCAAATTCATCAAAATCTGAGTCTGAACCTGTTTCCCTGTAGTCATTCCAATTGCCAGGGGAATCCTCATCGGGGGAACATCTAGTCAATGGAACTCTAAGTTCGGAAATTGGAACAGGAAGAGGATCCTCTGTGAGGTACTTGTCTTGTAACAGCTCCATTGCAGTAGCTCTACTGGCAGGATTAAAGCACAGAAGCTTCTTAACTATAAGGATTTCATCAGGTGAACGATTTGGCAAGCACGTTTCTAACCCAAGGGGTTTTTCTATTTTATTGAATGAAATCATTTTATAATCAGGAAGGTTTGAACAACCAGGAAAGGTCTCCTCCGTTAAGTTGCCCAAGACGTTAAAAATTCTAGAGAGCTGATCTATATCTGAGGTTCCAGGAAAGAGGGGCTCTAAGCTGAAAAGCTCTGCAAAAATGCACCCTAATGACCAGAGGTCAATCTCCACTCCATAATTTATCGAACCATAGAGCAACTCTGGAGCTCTAAACCACCGAGTCCCAACACATGAAGTTAGAGGACCATAATTGTCCTCCTCACCTGCCTCGGGTTCATACGTATTCGAGCCCTTGAGCAGATCATCTTCTATTTCACTCATAGTGCAAGTGGCAAGACAGGAATTATCTCCATCCAGGGTGTTTGAATCCTTGTCTGTGTCATCTGTAGCAGCAGCTTTAGCCTTTAGCATAACTAAGTTTCTGAAGAAGTCTTCTCTGCTTGGATTACCTTGCTCTTGATTAGCACAAGCCTGCTTACTTAAATCATTCATGATAACTTCAGGCTGTTGGAATGTAGATGGGTGACCTTGAGCACTAGCATCTCGCTCATCGTGCTGCGATTGCAAGTCTTCCGCAGATGCAACAAAACCTGGCTCTAGGAGGATTCTTGCCTGAATACAACAGTAAGGAACACAATGAGTGGCAGATTCATGTTACAATCCAAGATGATATGAAAAATATCAGCCTTCCGTAATCTGCAAATTTATTTTTTTCGGGGTGAGTAAAAGGGAATGGAACTTGATACTCCATATTGGAATATTTGGAACAGAGAATCCATCATACAATAATCAGAGAACAAAGTGGTCGTTCAGTTTACAAAAATTATACAGGAGATCCAGCTTCCTCGGACCTCAGGCGTATGTGTGGTTAACAAAAACACATCAAGAGAAGTCGTAATTTCCACAAAATTGGGGAGGTTGGTCAACTAGTTCACTTTATAATTGCAATATCTTGAGAGAATGAGAGGTGTAAGCTACTCCTATGTTACCAAACAACCACTCAAATTCCTAAAGCTAAAAGGGACCTACAATTAACTAGCCAAGCTAATACCAACTCATTAAAGTATCAAAATCCAAAAAAAAATCTTCAAGATTCAAGAGTCAAGACTACATCTCAGCACCCAAATGACATCTCATGCACAAGCATAAAGGCCAAACCAAGAAAAGCAAGAGATATCCGAACAACGATGCTGGGAACACTCCAAATCTCAGCTGATCAAATTCAATCAATCAGAGCAGAAGTTAGACTGTCAGAACAAAACAGAACAATCTGTGTACACCAGAGTCGCACTATTTACCACTAATCTAAAATCTGAAGGCATTTAAACATACACATAACAGATATCCATCTCATATCAACGATGAAAACTATAAATTATTCTTAATATCTCACAATATAATAATGATCATAAGAAATGCTTGCAAATACCAAGTACAAAACCAGAACGTTACTTAACAAACACATTCACTTTCCAAAACCACCTAATTTCAATGCAAAATCCTTCCATATATAAGGTTATTAGATGTCCAATTCAAAGGCTTAATATTATAACTATCAATAACAAACCCAAAAATCAGAAATGCACCAAAAGCAAACTCAAAAGTTCAAATCCTTTTTAGAATATACCAAAATCATCCAAACATTAGGGTATCCGATTCCCAACATAGAGCTGATAAATTTGTATGATGACCCAAATGATCACTCATCTACAACCATTAAAACACTACACAAAGTGTAGTTTCCATCATATATTCGTATTCCCGGGTTTCACTCTCACTGTTTACCAGTTCCTGAGTTACACTCAAAAGGATAATTCAAGTTGTCCGCCTAGTTTTCTTTCCTTATTGAAACGAAAAGAACCTAAATAATAATAGCCACTGCACATCACTAATCAAAACTCGAAACATCCACACAATGCAATGCAATCTAATATCACTATTCAACATTCGAAACATCCCTACAGTGCAATCTAACCCTATACATTTCAAACAGAAACATCTAAAAGCAAGAATTGCCCATGTATAAAACTCATCCAAAATTCAAATAATTAGCAACAAAAATACTATAAAAATCCAAATTTCAACAAACTTCTCAATCTAAACACTAAAATTTTATACACATTACTAATCAAAATCAGAAATACCCACAAATTGCAATCTGAAACAACATTTAAAAATAAAAAATTACCTGACCAAAATCAGCCAATTTCAAAACCCCATCATCAGAAATCAACAAATTAGCCGGTTTAAGATCACGATGAACAATAGAATTCCGATGACAAGCATCAACCCCATGTAAAATCTGAACCATCCATCGCTTAATCTCCCCAGATGAAATCCCAGCCGTCGAATTCTTCTTACCCTCTTTAATAACAGAAGCTAAATCAGTCCTCAAATACTCCAATACAAGAACAGCATCTTCATCTTCCCTCCAAAAATACTCGTGTAAAACGACGACGTTGGGGCAATTTTGAAGGGTTTGAAGGGCCTCGATTTCACGAAAAGAGCTCTGATAATCATGGATCTCTTTCAAGGCGACAGTACAGCCGTCCGATCGACGGAGTGCGCGGTATACGTCGGAGTATGCGCCGGAGCCGATTCTCTCTTTGATTTCGTATTTTGCGCTGATTTCTTTTCTTCCGTAAATGCTCCAGCTTTTTGATGATGTGGGTGATTCCATTTTTGTAAAAAGATTGTTTTTTTTTTTTTTGAATTATTGATTTGATGAAGGTATGAGCAATATTAACAATGGAGATTGTTTATTTTGAGGAGGAGATACAGACAGAGGGGACTGGAAGAGCCGAAGAGGAGCTGATTGGGTTTTGCAAGTTTTTTTTTTTTTTCAAGAGTAGCTTTAATTTAATTTCCACATCATTTCTTTTATTTTTGGTGAAAATTAAAATTACAATTAGACAACACTCTCTTTAACGGTGAAACTAATACGGTTTAAAACCAAATGTAACCACAATTTAAACTATTATTAGAATTTAATGTGTTCTAAAAAAAAGTAATTAGAGTGTACCCGGGATATATATATATCACATAGTAAAATATTAAAATAAATACAATATAGGAAGTTTTTTTAAAAAGGAAAATAGTGGAACTTATGCTAGTGTTTTCCGTACGCTGCAACACCGTATGGTCACTGGTAAAAAAATGAAGCAACCTCTATTATATAGAAATGGTAAACCCTTATTATAATTTTTTAGTAACTTGAAATAACAAGGAACCCCTAAAACATTGACAACATAGTAAGCTCTATGTCCGTAACGGAGTAACCCTTATAACACTAACCGAGTAATTCCATAAAGTGTCTAGCTAAAAGTTAGTGAACTTATTGAAGACTATATTATTTTCAAAAATAGATAAAGAGTTGGGATAATACAAAATTAAAAAATGAAAAGTGCAATTATAATATAAACTCCTTTCAATATTGCGTTATAAAAAATTAGTGTGTATATTTGTAATATTAAGTAAAGTGGGTATTATTTTGGAGTGATATGGTGAAAAGTTAGGAAAACATCTCTTAAATTCGGTTTTTTTTTTTTATAATTTTTTAAATGATTTGGTGCGATTTTAGAAATAAAAATATCGTGTTTTTACAGTTTGGTTTCGATTTTACGATTTGAAAAACCGAAAACCATACTACAATATAGGCCATTATCTAAATTATAATCCAACTCTGATGTTCAACCCTACCACTCCCATATATAAGGACAAAAACAGGCACTAGATGACTAGACCCCAAAAATTGTGGTACAATTTGGTTTTTATTTTTGGAAACTTAGGGTCTGTTCACATTTATTGAATTGAACTGAATTGAAGTGAACTGATTGGAGCTGAACTGAACTGAATATTTTATGAGAGAGAAATTAGGAGCTGAATTGAACATAACTGAAGTGAAATGAAGTAAATGTGAACAAACCCTTATGTAATTTGGTTTGGACTTAATAATAATAAGGTGTGGTGCGGTTTGCAAAATCCCAAACCGAATTAATACGAGGAATTGAGGATTGACTATTTTGGGTATGAAAATTGAGGATTGACATAAATTGGGTAAAATTGGATGAATTGACAGATGAGGAATGAAAAAAATCTTTTGAACACCCAACATCACTAGTTCACTGCTAGTCTTAAACTCTTACCAGACTACCAGAGGTCAGATCTTTGTTTTCTCTAAATTAAAATTAAAACTAAAATGTAATTTTTTTTAATTTTTAATTTTTTTTTGTATTGTTTTCATCTCTTACCATTCTCATCTTTTGTTCAATTTCTGTATTTTCTCAATTTGTTGCTTTAGTTTTCAGTTGCACCAGTTCAATGGAATCGAACTCTTACTATTTCAGATTAAGGGTTTCTATCTGCAATTTTAATTTGCTTCCTCTTAATTAAAAGCTATAACCTTTAATTCTTGAACCTGCAATATCTGAATTTATGATTCTGATTATGTACAACTAACTACTCAGTTTACCTTTTAGTGAGAAATTAGAATTTGATTGATTCTTCTATCCCATTTGAAATTAGTGAGAAATTAAAATTTTATTTATTTACTTGATATAGTTTCATGATACATGATTTTGATTTACTGTACTACTGGTCCAAAGTTCCAAACAGTAATACTTGAAAGTTGACTTGTACAATTTATTCATTTTCTATGTTTAATTGGTGTTGCAGATCCATTGATTCCCCATCTACAAGTGTGATCTTGAAGCTGATGATGAAGTAGATGAACTCTGCAACAAAAAAAATAGTCATTAATGAAAGGTTTGTCTTCTTTTCATTCAATTCACAAATGATCAAGAATACTATTACTTCTATGATATGTTTTTGTTAATTTGGAAAACTTAATCCAATGCGTTTTATTGTTTTATTTTCTGATGAATGTACGTATGTTTTTCTTCAAAATTGTTTGGAGGGAGCCCAAAACAAAATTCGTTTATCAGGTGGCATTACCATAAATAAAAAGTTTTTGCTTTATTTACAGTTTTGCCATGTTTAGTAACGTGATAAACTTTTCTCAATTGTTCATGCATCAGTTCTCATGATTTATAGAACAAGTTGAGATGATGATGATGATGTTATCACAACACATAGTTGACATGATTACAGAAAGTAATCAGTGAATTAAGATAATGCTCTAACCACTAACCAGTAACAAGCCTTTGGCAACCCTTTTCTCCAAGAACTGTGATGGTTTGAAAAAACTGCCATAAAGGTTTGACCATTTCTTGAGTCTATTATATATATGGTTTGGTCCAACAGCATCTGCCCAGAAAACAATACCGCCCCTGAAAGAATCATACTTCAGTAATTAACCTTTAAAATGTGTCACTACTCTCATGAACTAGAAAAGACTTCAGGGTGAATCAATTAATAGATAGACCAACCGATATGATGGAAAATTCATCCCAAGAACAGAAGCTACATCTAGATCAGATGCTCGAACCACAACTCTGTCTTCTAGTACGCGGCAAGCCTCATTTACCACTGGAAATAGTATCATTCCCAAAATGTCTTGGTCTGTTACAGATATAGGCTGCATATATAGAAAGAAGAACAAAGATTTACTAAAATTTTTGTATGAGTTTCCTGTTTGCTTGTAGTTTGTCACCTCAATGTTTACCTTTTCACTTGGCATAATATTTGTCATTCTTCTAGATTCTTCAATGATGGGTAGCACAAAGGGATCTGGTTGTGGCTTGCTCCCTTTCTCATATGTGTAGTATCCTTTTCCATTTATTTTACCTATTATCATATTAAGTCATAAATTTAGTAAGAGCGTAGTACTAGGATGGGTTACCTCCTGGGAAGTCCTTATGTTAGTTTATGTAGCCGACCCCACTTATGGGATGAAGGCGTTTAAACAAGCAAGCAAAATGCATAATGTCTATTCTGGTAAGCTTATCACCATGTATTCTCTGAGTCATGCCAGTTTAATAATTGCTGTTATATACTAAGTATATTGTTCTTTAACCTTTAAGGCATGCTGTAGTCACATAATAACCTAGTCTCTAATGCCTTATAGTAATTTTTAGAGTTTTTAGCTACGGTAATGAGTGATTTGTTGCTTACCATTTCGACCATTTTTTACTAGAAGTTCAACTAATGGTGACCTGAAACTGTGATCAGGGAAGGCAGCTTGAAATTCCTTTGCTATTGCAAGTGCATTTCCATATCCTGTTAAATCCTGAAGCCTGAAAATAACACAAGTGTTCAATTACCATAGCTTAAGCCAAAATGGATTCACTGAAGACTAAAGTTAACAAGTTTTGGTGCCAAATACGGTAACAAGGTGGAAAAGATTACTGGAAAGGGCCCATAGGCAGTCCAAAGTCGGTAACAACTCTGTCGATCCTGAAAATGTCAACTCCCAAGTTTGCCAAAAGATCAGCACTCTGAAAGTACGGGAAGAAAGTTCTGTTCACCGCATATCCAGTACAGGTACCAACGACTATAGGCACTTTTCTTATTGCTCTTGCAAATGCGATGAGATCATGAATAACTTGTGCTGATGTCTTATTAGTCCTCGCTATTTCTAGTAAAGGCGTCATGTACATAGGACTGTCAGTCAGACTGCACTTTAAGATTTGAAGATGAAGATCAGTTGAACTGCACAATCATCTTGCTGCTGAATAGAAATGTTAAAGAATTAAACAAACCTGAAAAAATGCACACCAACAATGCGCTCCTGAGAATTGGCCTTTTCTCCAATTATATTGAGGTCAGTAGTCGATGTGTTTGTAGCTAGAATACAAATTGAAGGGCATGCTTTCTCAAGCTGACTAAATATTGTTTGTTTCAGAGAAACATCACCGACAACAGCCTGAAAGATCACACAGTTTTGAACCCTCTTAGCAATGGATGCTAGATTCATGAGATTACAATATTACATGAATTAAGCTTCATAAGAAGTTGCAAGATATGTTAACATTTCCGGAGCATTTAATTATAGTACTATCAGCCTTGTGAATGTAAAGAGTTTGAGACAACTAACCTCAATGACCATATCAACATCTCTAAATTCTGTGTAGTCCAATTCGCCTTTGAGCAATGAAAGTGCTTTCTTTGCCTTTTCGTTTATTAACTTCCCTTTTGTCACTAAATCTCTGATGTTACCTGCCACAGGCCAATCACTGGTTAAGATTCGATGAAGCTTTTCATATGAATTCTGAATTAAATTCTCAAACGTCTAGTGGGAGAAATTGAGAGCTTTATGATCATCCAAACTACCTTGGATGGATTGTATTCCCTTGGCAAGGAATTCAGCATTAGATTCATTCAGAACAACATGTATATTGCTCAACAGTAGGGCAGTTGCAATGCTTGAACCCATTAAGCCTCCTCCAATAACAGCAACTTTCTTCATACGTCGTGGTTTCAGTCCTGCATCGCGAACCCCTGATATCTATTATAATCCATACAGCAAAAAAACCGTGACTTTAAAATAACTTCAGTGAAGGAAAAGCTACAACCAATGAGAAATTCAATTTAGTACCTTTGATGTCAGATTTTGAGCCAAAAAAATATGCAGTAAGCCTTTGGAAGTTTCAGATAAAAGTAGTTCTTTGAAAACTTTTTCTTCCTGCAATAGAAAAAATGATCTCAAGTCGTATTTTATTGTAAAATCATTCAAAATCAATAGAAAAAATCAAGTCCAAATACCTTTAAGATCCCAGCGTAACCTCCATGTATAATACCCTCCTCAATAACATCTAGACAGGCTTGGTACTGAGGCATATTCCTAGCAATATGTTGTGTAGCCTTTTGTCTCGCAACCATCAATATTTCGCGAACTTCAGTGAGAGAACCAAGCTTGTCAGTCATGTGGAGGCAGCGTACCAAAGGTTTGCGGCCTTCTGCAATGTCTAAAGCCCACATTTGCGATACCTTTAGCAACTCTTCAGAGGGCACTACAGCATCAATAAGGCCAAGCTCCACTCCTTCCTCAGATGCTATTGGTTTTGATAACTTAAAAAAGTTGATAAATTTATACAAATATGTTAATTTGCACGCAGGACATTTTATATGTTTGTAGAGTAAAAAAAGACTTACAAATATCAATTCTATTGCCTTTATTAGACCAATAAGCCTGGGAAGACGTTGTGTCCCTATATATTTAAATGTCGAAAATGTATTTATAAAAAAATTACAGGAGTATGCAATTGTGAAACAAATGTATTTATGAGTATGAGTTACCTCCAAGACCCGGAATTAGTCCAAATAGTAGCTCTGGCATTACAAGTTGTACTTTTGTAGATGAAATTCGTGCATGACATCCCTGCATACAAAACTGAATATCATAAGTAATATGTGAAGGATTACCATACACGAACACATATCGGGTATGTACCAAGACTTATCTAGCATACCACTTTTGTGGGCAGCTAGTTTGCAATTGACGCGATCTAGGCTAATATCATGGTTGCGGTGAGCTTAAAAATCTTTACAATGAGATTGCAATAATATGATGAGTAATATTAAAACATTTTACTTAGGTTACTTCCATCATTTCCAATAGAATCATGATGTAATTAACATTTTACTTAGGTTACTTCCATCATTGCTACCATAATGTAATTAATGGATGCCCGCTACAATGAATTTGTATCCATGATCAACTTTTAGTACATAGTATTTTGTATAAAATCTTAATCATACATTTATTAGTTGACCAGTAAAGAATTAATTTTATTTTCTTAAAAAAAAATACTCAAAATAATTGGTTACTTATCCAAAGTAATCTACTGTAACTTTTATTTCTTTAAGTCCTCAACACGCTTTCATCAATTCTTCCTCCCATTGATGTATTTGATTTTCCATATGATATCCTTGATAATACTTATGGATTAACCTTCCTTATTAATTCTTTTATTTTCCAAATATAGTTTAGTCTAATTTTATTTATAAAAAAAAAAAAATGATTTTTTTTAAATAAAAAAGAAATTATTAGATGTTAGCTTACACTTAGGTCGGTACTCGGTAGTGCATAATGCCGCATATCAATGATTATATCCTAAACAATCTAGCATGAGATATTATTTTAGTTTCCTAAAATCTGTTATTACAAAACCGTCATTACATGAACAAATTATATTTTGCTGTTGTTATAAATACTCCTTAAACTATTTACTCATTATTCACATTATAATAAATCATACAAATTAATTAGTGAGAAGTCTTGGAGAGAAAACTATTCCTTTGATTCTTTTCATATATATTTTAACGCTAATTAACGTGAGATCGATAGCCATGGAAGAAACGACTATGGACCTAGCCGCTATGTGGGAAGAGACGTCAAGGAAGTTGGATGGGTTAGAGGAAACATGGGATGTTCTTGATAGTGTTTCAATGAAGCAAAGAATAGACGATGTTGTTAGTTTGGGTCATCAAGATGTATCACGACATCATCAACGTCGTCATGGAAAGGGCAAAGAGATGAAAGTTCTCCTCAAACATTTGAAAGGGGTAGACGACGACATAAGCGTTCATCGTCATCAAGAGTTACCACATCAGTCCTCATCGCCGCCAAGATTAGCACAACGTGGTCGAAAAGAGTCGAGTGTACAACCTTTGTCATCATCACCACCTAAACCTGATTCCTCTTCATATTGCAACAAGTTGGAGAATACAAAGCGGAAGTTGCAAGAAGGCTACAACAAGTACGATAATGCAAGAAAGAAAATATGTTTGATTGGTTTGAGTGATCTTCCTACACAGCCTACAACAATAAGAAAACAAAAGGGAAAGCTTAATAAAGGTTTTAGAGGAGTCAACAATATTATTATGCCTCATCAAATACTTGGTACGTCAAGATGATCGTCAAGAGCATACAAACAAGTCAAGAGTTTAGATAAAGGTATAACAACTAGTTTTATCATTGGCGAGGTTAAATTTATGGTGCAACATAATGGACGGGTAATATGTTTTGTCTGCCTTTATTACTCCTAATTGATGTGTCTTGTAATAGTCACAACATCGTTACTATAGTGAAAGAATTGGATGATCGTCCCCGCCCGTGGAGTAGGTCACATTGACCGAACCACGTAAAACTTGTGTCTCGTATTCTTTTTTCTTATAATTGTTCTTTAAGTTTTTAATTACTTAATATGTCACATTTTTTTTTTCGGATTTCACATTTTAGAGCACATTCGGGATATTAATATATGCTAGTTCTTGTAAATGTAAGTACTAGTGTTAGCATGTGCGAAAGTATGTATATTATCAGTCAGCAGGTGAGTATATGGGCATTGAATGCCTTTGCCATGAGATGAAACTTCATTTTCATGTAGAAATATATGCCCTACATGCACTGTAGTTTGGTAGACCACATTGTCCCTATTGTATATGGCATTGAATAGCATTATGAGTAATAAATTAAACTAAGGTAAGGACATATCTCTTCAACAATGGTCAAAAATCAGAAATCAGAAGTCAGATCAGATTTATGGGATTGATTAAAGGCACACATTCATATGATCAGTGACCATGATTAATTGGTAAGTACAAGGACCGCGGACAATTATTCTCACTATGCAAAGTTATTACATATACCCGAGTGTATCAACTACTCACACTCGATATTAATCTTAATCCTAGAAGGGTACAGCATTGAGTGTATTTACTACGAGTAAAATATGCACGAGGTATACCAAAGCTAGGGGGATATTTTGTAATGCAAAATAGTTACACACTTACACCCTGGATTAGCACTGTGAAAACGGTTTGACAGTTCGGATTCGGTTCGGTTTGAAATCGGTTCGGTATTAAATCGGGTCGGTTTGAAATCGGTTTAAGTGTCTCGCGGGTCGGTTTCAGTTCGGTTTAAATAGTTATCGGTTCGATTCGGCTTCGGTTTATTCTTGAGCGGTTTTAATTCGGTTTGGGTTGTAAACGGTTAGGGAAGTAAACGGTTCGGTACAGTCGGGTTGCAGTTTGTTAACGGCTCGGTGTAAACGGTTTTTATACCGGTTCAAACAGTTTTGGGTTGGAAACGGTTTCGAGTTAGAAACGGTTCGGTTCTTTTTCGGTTCAGTTTTATTTTGGTTCGGTTTGTTAACGGGTTTGCCTTTTATACGATTTAACGTTATTCGGATCAGTTCCATTTCACGTTTACTAAATTATGGTTCGGAACGGTTTTTTATTTCAAAAAGTCGGTTTTTAATCGGGTCGTTTGGATTCGGGCAGTTAAATGATTTTGGTTTGAAGTTTCATAGTACTTGCTAACCTTTTGTTGGTTAACAAGTTTTATATCAAGCCGAAACTTCATCACTTCATATTTAGGCATTAGGCATTATATTATATACAAATTCTCATCTATTTCAAAAATACATATCATGTTATTTCAAGTTTAGTCATACCGATCTTACTAGTTTATTACGAATTAACGTAGATTATAAAAGTTTAGTGTATTAATGAATTATTATTGTTTTACTATCACATTATTAGCTGATTCTTATTCAATCAACTAATTGATGTGTCATAATCATGATTTGATGAGTTATTGTGACGTCGAAATTACAGTTTGATTTATAGATGATTCGGTTTGTAAGTGGTTCGGTTTATAAACGGTTCGGTGCAAACGGGTTGCAGTTTGTTAACGGTTTGGTGTAAACGGTTTTTACCTCGGTTCAAACGGTTTCGGGTTGAAAACGGTTTCGGGTTAGAAACGGTTCGGTTCTTTTTCGGTTCGGTTTAGAACTGGTTCGGTTTGTTAACGGGTCCGGTTCTTATACGGTTTGACATTATTCGGATCGGTTCGGTTTCGAGTTTACTTAAATACGGTTCGGGTCGGTTTTACAAAATCGGTTTTTAATCGGTTCGGTTCTCATTTGGGTCGGTCGGTTTCGGGCAGTTAAACGGTTTCGGTTTGAAATTTGACAGCACTACCCTGGATGTATGATACATGTTAGCACACCCATGAAAGTAAAATTATGTAAAAAAAAAAAAAAAAGAAGATTTGTGAGGTTCCTTTTCGTTTACATGAGTGGCTTTGCAAATTCATGTCACTCTCAGGAACACACTTTCTGTTTTTGTGATTTATGCAGACTTATGAACAATGAAAGTGATGCACACTTGAAAAATTGATGTCAAAACAGAGGAAATCACTTCAAAATTAGTCATCAAAATCTGCAAGACTTAATTTACCATTAGTTTTTCTTTTACCAGTAGATACATCAGTGGTCAGACCGATAATTTGCGTGCAAAGAGACATACCCGAGGTGATCTTAGAATAAAGGGGTAAAGAAAATTAATCAAACTACATAATACGCTTATGAACTCATGACCAAATATTTTTTGGTAGAAATAATACACTAAAATACTAAACCCCTGAAACTTGCAATCAGAATATGCTTTTACATAACATAACAACTAAGAAGATGCTAAAAATGAGTGAAATAGGGCAAAATATCCAAGAGAGAATGAACAATTCCCTCAGTACTTTGCAGTTTATAATTCCGCATAAGATAACACATACATACATACATCAGATCGCGCAACATCAAACCCCACATCCACATTATATAGTGCACATACCAGCTGCTGCCTTAGTTTGGGGTTGAATTCAGCAACATGGCATTGCTCGTCCAAAAAGAGTAGGAGGTGAACCTCCTCTTCCTAATCCAAACGCGCCAACTAGGCAGCACAACCTCCACACATAATTCCACTGCATTTTTAAAAAAAAAAAAAAAAAAAAAACAACATAAATATCAAATTCCTTTAATGGCACTTTTTGACTTGCAGATGAAAGTAATATTCTTTCACAATACTTGATTGCTATCATAAACTCAATTCTGCTAACTCCTCTACTGGTAATTTGCCATCCCAACTAAATCTGTGTAACATCTTTAACTTCATCTAAGATTTCACTAGTGTTTTCAAATTGCATTTTTCAATCAAGCACTTCAGAAGTTCTGTTTCAAAATTAAGACTTTCACTTAAAAAACCCTTAACTGAACTTGTAAAAGACCTTACTCGAACTTATTTTTCCTTCTGTAGACATGATTGGTGCTAATCTTATATTCGTACAGTAAGAGAAAAAAGTATAATTCGTGACAAATATCTATCTTTCTGAATATTCCGAGCAAGACAGATTGAAGCATTGAACAACAAACTTCCACATTAGAATCATATATACTCAACACAATGAATTTTCCTTTAAGAAACTTGTGCAAATTTATATATCCTATTTGCTAGAATAATTGCAACATCCAAAATGATTCAACTAGCATAATATAAGAACCAAAGGCATCCCTTAGAATACTTACACGAACGAACACCCAGACTTCTTGTACTTCTTCTTCCTAGGAGCTTCTTTCCTCCTTGGAGGTTGAAGAACAACTTTGATAGCAGTATCAAAAACAGCTTTGACATTCTATATAAGAAATTAGAAATTTGGTTAAAATTCATTATATTCATAATACTTTGCAAGGTATTGTGCTATAAGTCCACAAACCGGTGTAATTTACCTGCTGAGTTTTAGAGCTGCACTCTATATAAGCTGCAGCACCAATTTGCTTCCGTAACTCTTCTCCCTGTATAATTACATGTTCATTAGCCTTCTACTCGTAGTTTCCGTGCGCATATTATAGATTGTAATATAAAAAGGAGACAGCATTAAGCAAAGGAACATAACATACTTGAGCAGGAGTTATGATATTTGATCCAGTAGGATCAGAATACCCTCTTTCATCCCTAAGATCTGAGAGATAGTACAAAACAAATTACAATTTCAATCATTATTACAGAACACATATATAGCAAATCATTATAGTTCTTGCAAATGCATTGGTTCGAATAAGGCCGTATAATTACCTAGTTTTGTTCCAACAAGTACAATTGGAACATTGGGTGCGAATCTACGAAGTTCAGGCATCCACTGAAAGATTTTGAAACAATGCACAATCATAAGCATCAATGTACACAAAATCAAGCTATGAATTTGTATCAAGGACAACAATAATCATGCAATCTCATCAATTTTTGGAGGGTGTCAAATTGTCAATAATCTTATCAACAAGTATTATACAATCAAGATTATTAGGTTCATGAATGTACACAAAACTAAGTTATGAATTT